TCTCTGCTACTTGGCTTATTTTTAAAAAATTTAATTGAAGTATAGATGATTTACAGTTCAGTTCAGTTCAGTCGCTCAGTCGTGTCTGACTCTTTGTGACCCCGTGTATCGCAGCACACCAGGCCTCCCTGTCCGTCACCAACTCCCAGAGTTTACTCAAACTCATGTCCATCAAGTCAGTGATGCCATCCAGCCATCTCATCCTCTGTTGTCCCTTCTCCTCCTGCCCTCAATCCCTGCCAGCATCAGGGTCTTTTCCAATGAGTCAACTCTTTGCATGAGATGGCCAAAGTATTGGAATTTCAGCTTCAGCATCAGTCCTTCCAATGAACACCCAGGACTGATCTCCTTTAGGATGGACTGGTTGGATCTCCTTGCATTCCAAGGGACTCTCAAGAGTCTTCTCCAACACCACACAGTTCAAAAACATCAATTTTTCGGCGCTCAGCTTTCTTCAGAGTCCAACTCTCACATCCATACATGACCACTGGAAAAACCATAGCCTTGACCAGACGGACATTTGTTGGCAAAGTAATGTCTCTGCTTTTTAATATGCTATCTAGGTTGGTCATAACTTTCCTTCCAAGGAGTAAGCATCTTTTAATTTCATAGCTGCAGTCACCATCTGCAGTGATTTTGGAGCCCCAAAAAATAAAGTCTGACACTGTTTCCCCATCTATTTCCCATGAAGTGATGGGACCAGATGCCATGATCTTAGTTTTCTGAATGTTAAGTTTTAAGCCAACTTTTCACTCTCCTCTTTCACTTTCATCAAGAGGCTTTTTAGTTCCTCTTCACTTTCTGCCATAAGGGTGGTGTCATCTGCATATCTGAGGTTATTGATATTTGTCCTGGCAATCTTGATTCCAGCTTGTGCTTCTTCCAGCCCAGCGTTTCTCATGATGTACTCTGCATGTAAGTTAAATAAACAAGGTGACAATATACAGCCTTGATGTACTCCTTTTCCTATTTGGAACCAGTCTGTTGTTCCATGTCCAGTTCTAGCTGTTGCTTCCTGACCTGCATATAGGTTTCTCAAGAGGCAGGTCAGGTGGTCTGGTATTCCCTTCTCTTTCAGAATTTTCCACAGTTTATTGTGATCCACACAGTCAAAGGCTTTGGCATAGTCAATAAAGCAGAAATAGATGTTTTTCTGGAACTCTCTTGCTTTTTCGATGATCCAGCAGATGTTGGCAATTTGATCTCTGGTTCCTCTGCCTTTTCTAAAACCAGCTTGAACATCTGGAAGTTTACAGTTCATGTATTGCTGAAGCCTGGTTGGAGAATTTGGAGCATTACTTTACTAGCATGTGAGATGAGTGCAATTGTGCAGTATTTCAAGCGTTCTTTGGCATTGCCTTTCTTTGGGATTGGAATGAAAACTGACCTTTTCCAGTCCTGTGGCCACTGCTGAGTTTTCCAAAGTTGCTGGCATATTGAGTGCAGCACTTTCACAGCATCATCTTTCAGGATTTGAAATAGCTCAACTGGAATTCTATCACCTCCACTAGCTTTGTTGGTAGTGATGCTTTCTAAGGCCCACTTGACTTCACATTGCAGGATGTCTGACTCTAGGTGAGTGATCACACCATTGTGGTCATCTGGGTCATGAAGATTTTTTTTGTATAGTTCTTCTGTGTATTCTTGCCACCTCTTAATATCTTCTGCTTCTGTTAGGTCCATACAATTTCTGTCCTATATTGAGCCCATCTTTGCATACAATGTTCCCTTGGTATGTCTAATTTTCTTGAAGAGATATCTAGTCTTTCCCATTCTATTGATTTCCTCTATTTCTTTGCATTGATCCCTGAGGAAGACTTTCTTATCTCTCCTGGCTATTCTTTGGAACTCTGCATTCAAATGGGAATATCTTTCCTTTTCTCCTTTGCTTTTCGCTTCTCTTCTTTTCACAGCTATTTGTAAGGCCTCCTCAGACAACCATTTTGCCTTTTGGCATTTCTTATCCGTGGGGATGGTCTTGATCCCTGTCTCCTGCACAATGTCATGAACCTCCGGCCATAGTTCATCAGGCACTCTGTCTATCAGATCTAGTCCCTTAAATCTATTTCTCACTTTCACTGTATAGTCATAAGAGATTTGATTTAGGTCATACCTGAATGGTCTAGTGGTTATCCCTACTTTCTTCAATTTAAGTCTGAATTTGGCAATAAGGAGTTCATGATCTGAGCCACAGTCAGCTCCTAGTCTTGTTTTTGCTGACTGTATAGAGCTTCTCCATCTTTGGCTGCAAAGAATATATAATCAATCTGATTTTGGTGTTGACCATCTGGTGATGTTCATGTGTAGAGTCTTCTCTTGTGTTGTTGGAAGAGGGTGTTTGCTATGACCAGTGCATTCTCTTGGCAAAACTCTATTAGCCTTTGCCCTGCTTCATTCCGTACTCCAAGGCCAAATTTGCCAGTTACTCCAGGTGTTTCTTGACTTCCTACTTTTGCATTCCAGTTGCCTATAATGAAAAGGACATCTTTTTTGGGTGTTAGTTCTAAAAGGTCTTGTAGGTCTTCATAGAACCATTCAACTTCAGCTTATTCAGCATTACTGGTTGGGGCGTAGGCTTGGATTACCATGATATTGAATGGTTTGCCTTGGAAATGAACAGAGATCATTCTGTCATTTTTGAGATTGCATCCAAGTACTGCATTTTGGACTCTTTTGTTGACCATGATGGCTACTCCATTTCTTCTAAGGGATTCCTGCCCACAATAGTAAATATAATGGTCATCTGAGTTAAATTCACCCATTCCAGTCCATTTTAGTTCGCTGATTCCTAGAAGGTCAACATTCACCCTTGCCATCTCCTGTTTGACCACTTTCAATTTGCCTTGATTCATGGACCTAACATTCCAGGTTCCTATGCAATATTGCTCTTTATAGCATCAGACCTTGCTTCTATCACCAGTCACATCCATAACTGGGTATTGCTTTTGCTTTGGCTCCATCCTTTCATTCTTTCTGGAGTTATTTCTCCATTGATCTCGAGTAGCATATTGGACACCTACCAACCTGGGGAGTTCCTCTTTCAGTATCTTATCATTTTGCCTTTTCATACTGTTGATGGGGTTCTCAAGGCAAGAACACTGAAGTGGTTTGCCATTCCCTTCTCCAGTAGACCACATTCTGTCAGACCTCTCCACCATGACCTACCTGTCTTAGGTGGCCCCACACGGCATGGCTTAGTTTTATTGAGTTAGACAAGGCTGTCGTCCGTGTGATCAGATTGGCTAGTTTTCTGTGATTATGGTTTCAGTGTGACTGCCCTTTGATGCCCTGTTGCAACACCTACCATCTTAATGCAGTGCTAATTTCTGCTGTATAGCAAAGTGACTCAGTTATACACATATATATTCTTTTATATGCTTTTCCATTGTGGTTTTTCATAGGATATTGAATACAGTCCCTATGCTACAGAGTATTGTTGTTTACCCATCCTCTATGTAACAGTTTATGTCTCTAATCCCAAACTCGCACTCCATCCTTCCCCCACTCACCTCTCCCTTGGAAACCCCAAATCTGTTCTCTATGTCTTTGAGTCTGTTTCTGGTTCATAGATAGGTTCATTTGTGTAGTATTTTAGATTCTACCTATAAGTGATAGCATACGGTATTCGCCTTTCTCTTTTTGACTTACTTCACTTAACAGAATAATCTCTAGGTTCATCTGTATTGCTGCAAACGTATAGCTGTCTGCCTTTGGACAACCTGCTTAACTTCTCCAGTCCTGCGTGAAATGGGGATGGCAAGGGAACCTACATCGCAGATTGATGGGAGTATTAGACGACATCATCAATGGCCCAGAGTCATAGCCCAGTAAGGATTCAAAGAGCGAGCTATGCAAATCCATGTGGAGAGTGTCCAGGTGGAGGAAGGGCAAGGGGATGGCTCAGAGGCAGGGGTATACTAGGGATACGTGTGGGATCACCAGGAAGCCAGGTGGCGGTACAGAGTGGGCAAGAGGCAGAGGGAAGCAGGTGAGATAACACAGGTGGGGCAGCAAGTTGCTGTTTTATTTATTTTTTTTACCATGTTTATGTGATTTTTGTGGTTGGCTTCTTTTTATAGAAAGATACTGACTTCCTGTAAATTGCAGATACAAGTACCTGGCTAACTTTATTGTATGTGAGAAAAAAGGCAATTTAAGGAAACAAATGGAATACAGTACAGTAAAGCAAACTCATGAAGACTGTTCCTGGATGACTGAAATTTGTGAAACGAGAAAGGTGGGTCTCTTCCCACCCCCCCACCTCATTTACTCAGCCCAAGTAGGTACAGAATTTTGAGGGTGAAACTTCACGATAACCTTGGATGTCACAGCTGGGATTCTGAACTTGTCTCTGATTTCAGAGCTTTCCAGCTGGATCACCTCACCCGCCCACCACCTTACTGTACAGATGGAGACACTGAGGCCTGGGTGGGGAGAGGGAGGGGCAGGGAGAAACATTGACGGTTTGGTGGGAAGAGCTGGTCAATTTCTGTCTGACTCAATGCCTCTGCTGCCGCCCATCCCACCCCCACCCACCCCGGAATCCAGGGATTCAGATGCCCAAGTTCTTGCAGAGACCTCTCGGTAGGATGAGTTGAGGGGAGACGGTGCCTCCCTGGGTTCTCAGGGACCTTCTCTGGCTCTACTCACAGCCCCATGTGGACAGGCTCCCAGTACACCCATCACTGACTGGGGGAAGCAGCCTGGTGAAGAGGGTGCCAGGGGCTGCTGGCCCAGAGGTCCACTCCTGGGGCTGGCCAGGTGGGTGGGCAGCACCCGGCTGCGCTCTGGTCCAGCAGAAATGTTACAGTGGGTAGGGGCCTGGAGATTCCTTCTGGGATGAGAGGCTGGGCTGGGTCCTTGGCTCAGCTACCAGCATGGGGCAGACATTTCTAGCAATGACACTGTTTGCCCCTTCCTGGTAACTGCCCCTTGGAACCAGTTCATATCAGCCAGGGAGATGGGGTGAATTTGGACAGTGTGGGGATCCCAGGGCCTCTTCACCTCCTCTCCTGCTCGTCCTGCAGGTCGCCTTGACTGACGTCCTCGTAGGATGGCGGAGGCATCATTGACTGCTCCTTGAGCTCCAGTGGTGAGTCAGGGACAAGGGACAGGTCATCCTCCTGCCAAAGAGAGAAGCCACTGTCCCTGATGCTCCGATGTGACGAGCACGTGGTGATCAACAAAGCCCTTCCCGATGGCTCACTTGCTGGAGCCTCAAGTCCCCATGAAGCTGGGGAAACTGACACAAGCAAGGCCCCTTCTAGCTCTATGATGCCTTAACAAGAAGACTTCCTGCCAGACAGCCAGGCAGTGACTGAGACAGCTTATTTGCTTGGTGTGAGTAAAACTCAAATGCAAAGTCATGTCAGTGCTATGTAAAAACTTAGAACATCATGACCCTAACATGAAAACAATTGAAGTGCTAATCTTGCAGAATTACGGGGAATCTAGACCAAATATATATATATATATATATATATATATATATATTTTTTTTTTTTACAGTGTTCTACAGTTAAGATTATAGTGTGAACTTTTTTTTCCCTTCAAAGAAAGGAGCCTAGGGTATCACTTTTGGGGTGGGGAGAGACTAGTCTTTTATTTCTAAATCTTTTTGGTCCCAGCCTGCCATTCTGCCAGCCTTACAAGTACTCGAAGGCTTGGCTCTGGGTGAAACATGCCTCGGACTGAGTCCTGGATTTCCTTACAGGTGTTTGACCTTGGAAAGTGACATGGCCTCTTTACTTATCTGTAGAATGGTTTACTTATCTGTAGAATGGGGGGAAGGTCAGTGCCCACTCCAAGTTGGGCAGTTGACAAGATTATGTTAAGTAAGTCATGTTTCTCTCACATGCTTAACAGACAGGGTACTTGGTATCCCTGAAGTGCTCAGTCCCTGTGATCCCCCATTTGCTGGCTCCCACCACAGCCACACCCCACAATGTACTGTGGCTCCACCAGCCTTCCCTGGCAGGTCTCTGAGCCATTGCCCCTGCTGTTCCCTCTGCTACGGGCAGCAGGCCTCCCACCTGCAGGCCCAGATCCTGCCCGTCTCCACGGATCTCCCCCATAAGGTCTCCAAGGGCTTGAGAGCTGGGAGCACAGTGGCCTGTTGGTCTGAGCATCCCTGGCCTTTCCTCCTCAGTGGCCCCACATTTTTCACCTTGAATTGGCACCCTCCCCCATCCCGTGCCTCGTCTCCCCTACTAGACTGTGGGCTGCCTCTGTGTGTGGTCCAACTTACTGGGCAACACCCCTCTGCCTGATGCTCCCCTTTCTGTGTCCTCCATAGCCTCGTTCCCCATCTCCTGGAGGCCCTCACCTCTGCAGACAGGCGGGCATCCTTGTACGCCATGATGGCCATGAGCCCCGGCAGGAAGACCTCCACACAGGTGACACAGAGGAGGGCCAGCACTAGCCTCTGGATGTGGACCTGGGAGGGAGTGGGGAGGGAGAGGTGAGTGAGCCTTCACTGGGTGTCCACTCATCACCTGGGCATGGGCAGCAGTCAGACCTGCCGGCAAGGACAGTGGGATTTCAGCTCCCAGGTGTGCCCAGGAGGCAGGGTGTGGCTCTGCTCTATGCCCAGCACTGGGCACCCATGGGTCCCCACGGCATAGTGTCTGAGGACTGGGGTTTTCTCATGGGCCCCTGGTAGAATGGCAGGTGGCTTTCAGCATCATCTCATCCAATCCCACTTAGACGGGGATATCTAAGCTCAGGAAGAAGCAGCATCACTTACAGCAGGGAAGGGGAAGAACTGGATTGAAGATCACCATACAGCTGGGATATCTCTTGGGGCCACGCGCATCCGGTCGGGAATGTGTGCATGTGTGTGTCTGTGCATGTGTGTCCATGTGTGTGCTCAACCTCTGTGAGCATGCTGGAGGGCGATAAGGAATAGTGAACCACCATGGTCAGAACACTTGGAAACTGACCTTGAGGCCAGCAGCCACCCTCATGGAACGGCTGGCCCATCTTCTGCTTCAGGAGTGAGTGCGTGCGTGCTAAGCTGCTTCAATCGTGTTCGACTCTTTGCAACCCCATGGACTGTAGCCCGCCAGGCTCCTCTGTCCATGGGATTCTCCAGGCAAGAATCCTGGGATGGGTTGCCATGCCCTCTTCCTGGCTCAGGGGAGGCTGTGGCTAACAGAGCACTGAGCTTGAAGTCTAGACCCCACTGAGTCCTCGCTGCACCCCTGCCTTGCAGTATGGCCTTGATCCACTAGTTTAGCTTCTCTGGACCTCAGTGTTCACTTCCATAAAATGGGGGTAACAAGGTGAAGTCGGCTAGCTCTGCAAGGCTGCTGTGAGGTTCACAGTTATTGGGGTCACTGGGGCTATACTATTTATAGAGCCTTGAACAAAGAATCAGCAGTCCTAGATTATGGTCCTGAATTTGCTGCCAACTTGCTACTTGACCTCAGGCAGGCCCTTCCCCAACTCTGGGCTTCAGTTTCCTCAATGATTAAAGTGGGAGCCGTGAGTCCAGGCCCTGTCCAGCTCCTTGATGCCGACCAGCGAGAAGGCCAATATCATCTCTGTACCTTGGGGTGGGGGGATGGGCTGGCCACCCATGCTGGGCTCCAGATGAGGTTTTCTGAGAGCTAGAAACTTCCTGAGCCAAGCCCAAGGCAGGCCTTCCTGGAAGTCAGAGGACCCTTGGGGGCTGGGCACTCACAGTATCATTGGGGTACGGTTTCCAGATAGGGAACTCAAACGGAGTCTCCAGAAAGAGGTCCTTAGCAATGACAAAGAGGCCAGCCAGCACGCAGAGGAAGCTGATGGAGTTCGCTATCAGGCACATCTTCTATAAGCAAAGAAGAAATAACAATCATTGTCCAAAGGCTACAGACGGAGTCTAAGTCATCTTCTCCGGCCAGCCAGTAGCTCACCCTGGGACCTCAGGAAAATGTTGCCCATCTCCAGGCCTGAGGCTCCTCACGCTAACATGGCTTTCTGAGCCAGCTGACCATCAAGCTCTGGGTTCTGATGCCTGATGATCTGAGGTGGAGCTGACGTAGTCATAGCAATAAAGTGTGCAATAAATGTAATATGTTTGAATCATTGTGAAACCTTCCTGCCACCCCCCACCCAAATCTGTGGGAAAAAAAGTCTGTTCTATTGGATGGGATCAGGAGGACCAAAGGACTGCTGCTGGGTCCCTAGGTTTTGTAACAAAGAAGGATGTTCCCACCACCATCTACCTCTCAAAGCTGTCCCCAGTCTTATTGGCATCAGATATGCCAACTGATGCTTGCAATGAGGGAGATCTGGGCTCTATCCCTGGGTTGGGAAGATCCCCTAGGAAAGGGAACAGCTACCCACTCCAGTATTCTGGCGCAGAGAATTCCTTGAACTGTATAGTCCATGGGGTCACCATGAGTTGGACATGACATGTTTGAGCGACTTTCACTTTCACTTTCTCAGGCATCCAAATGCCCCCCTCCTCCACAGGAAAGGCCAGGATGAGCCCTGACGGTCCCCTATCCTCTCTCACTCAGGTCTGCCTCCTCTACCACCTACCATGGCCCCTGAAATGCCTCTGTTCGTCCTTATCTTGGGTTATTTGTGCATTATTCCATGAGCCTCTTGCCAAGTGCAAACCCCTGTAACAGGGAAAGAATATGAACATAAGGCTCCTCCAAGCCCTTGTGCTAGAGTGGATTTCTCTGCAGTAGGTGTTTCCCTAGGCTAATGTGTAGAAAGTGGGGATGCTTTTGGTTCTGCAAGGGGCCCAGCCCAGGAGGAAGAGCCAGGGCTTTGCCAAGTATCTCCTGCCTCTGCTCTAGGTAAATATATACCCTTCTGATGTGATCCCTGAGAGGGCAGAGGGCAGCCACCACCCAGCCCAGGCTGGGGGGCCATGAGTGTGGACCCAGCCAGGGCTTGGGGGTGGAGGGTGGGCTGAGGCCATGACACAGGGTTGGTGGGATGGTCCTTCCACCCGCATCCACCTCCATCCACCCAGGCTTGTGAGGGTGCCCACTCTGCCTCCCTTGGCCACCCCAGGCTAGAAAGACGCTCAGACACCTGCTGCCCAAGCTTAGTGCATGGGTGAGGGAGACAGGAGGTCCAAGGAGCTGTGGGGACACAGAAGCCAGCCATGGCAGATCAGGCAAGACTACTTGGAAGAGGAGACATGTAAGCTAAGCTTTAAAGAATGATCAGAAGGAAAGTCAAAGCTGGGAGTGAATGCCCAGTGGGGAGAGGGTAAGGTACTCTGGCAGAAAATAGCGCAGAGCAGGCAAGAAAGAATTGTGTCTGGCTGGGCCTTAGGGGTGAGATGTTGGTGGACTCCCAGCTGTGACCTGGCTTTCGGGACTCGCAGACTTGCTGACATGGGAGGTAAGCTGAGGGCACAGGGGAGCCTAGGGGTGATTGCCAGAATAGTCACCCAGGCTGCTGGATGAACAGGGTGGGTGACACCTCCAGGCCTGGCTTGATGGAACGGTGGCCAGAACTGGGGTGGTGGAAGAGCAGCAGGTGGAGAGAACGGCAGGGAGTCGGGGTGAGAGGCAGGCCTCCACGACAGGGGCTTTTCTGCTTGGACCCTCTGTGCCATCCAGAAGGCTTGTACCCATTTCTGGCAAATCCTGGCGAACTGCCTCTGGAATCCCCACTATACACGATGCCCTTTGCAACGTTACCCCATCCTTGGGATGGGAGAGAACGGTCCTAACCCTCCAACTCACCAGATAATTTTTCTGAAACGACTCCATTGTTATTGCCAAGATCCCGGAAATGAGGAACTGTGGAACAGATTTGAAACAGTCTTAAGAGAGAGGCTGGGGTTCCTTGAAACCCACAAATTCCCTTCCCACTATGGCCTTAAAAAAGACAAACTGTGGGGGCTGGTAGGGTAGGGAACATCATTCCTCCAACAAAGGGAGCTCACCTGCCCCCACACGGTCCATCCCAGGCCCCGCTCCAGCCAGGCTACTCTTCTCTCCTGCTTCCCTAGTGTAGCAGCCCAGACCACCCCTCTGCAAGCAACTGAACTATGGCTCCCATTCCAAGCCTCGCTCCTTTCTTGGATCCTACAGTTTGGAGGATATTAGCTCTTGGTTCCAAGGTCTCTGGTATTTTTCTTCAATTATTCTTTCATATGTGTGCTGAGCGCCTACTATGCACCCATCACTGGGAGCACAGGGATGGGTAGGCACTCATGTGGGGACAGTAGTTTCCCCGCTGTGTACAGAAAGCTCGGATGGGAACCGTGGGGACAGAAGACTGAAGTGGCAGTGGGTGAGGGGCCAGCACACGTGTCTAGGAGGGTGTCTGGGAGCTGGTACTGGGTGTAGAAGCAGGACTCCACTGTGACCTGGGATAGAAGAGGATGCCCTGGGGATCCTCCAGGGAAGGTGTGGGCAGTGGTCTCCTCTCTCCTCCCACCCTGGCTGAGAGCTTTGTGCCCTGCAGACTGGCCCTGACAGAGACTCCGGGCATCAGGGATGTGTGCCCAGATCCAAAGGCCTCCGAGGAAGCCTGGGGAAGGTGTGGCTGCCCCAGCTCACATTCACCCTCCTCTGTGCTGGATGCACTTGGTAATTAGAGGAGGGTACCAAGATCTTCCCTGGTGGCTCAGCAGTAAAGCATCCACCTGCAATGCAGGAGACCTGGGTTCAATCCCTGGGTCAGGAAGATCCCCTGGAGGAGGGAATGGCAACCCACTCCAGTATTCTTGCCTGGAGAATTCCATGGACAGAGGACGCTGGCAGACTACAGTCCATGGGGTAGGTAGCAAACAGTCAGACACGACTGACGCAACTTAGCAAACATGCACCACTGAGAGCCCGGGGGCTGCTCCCTTGGGCTGCAGGCCCGCGGGAGCCCCTGGGAAGAAGCTGCTTCCAGTGTGACTGGGAGAGGCTGGGCAGGGGCCGAAGCAGCCTCGCTGCTATTCACTCACTCCACCCCACCCTGCACCCCCTCCCGAAAGCCAGGTCCTCGGGGCCTGCCTGCGCATCTCCAAAGCCGGCCCATATTTTGACATCTACTCACAGAGGCAGCCCCCCAGAATGGATACCAACACTTCTGGACCACCAGGTGAAGGTTCTGGACGGCAGCCACCAGGTAACCTCCAATGAACAAGTACACCAGAGCGATGACCACATGGACAGCCTGGGCGAGACAGGGGCAGGGGACAGAGAGCCGCTGTCAGGGAACTGGCCCTGATGGAGGCCGTTGAGCTCCTGCCCCAGCGAGCTGCACAGAGCTCACTTCCTGCCTTCTAAAGGATGCTGGTGGGCCTGCAAGGAAGGACCGCTTCTTGAAAAGGCAGGTGGGAGTCACGTACCTGTCCTACCACCTGTGGGCACGGCAGTGTCTCTGGGGGCTGGGGGGATGGAAAAGAGAGGGGAAGGGGAGGAAGCTTCTTCTACTGAGGCTTCTATGAGCCACACAGAGCCAGTGTCGTGTGGATGTAGACTCCCTCTCCCATCCCTCCATGGATTTTTAAATCTTAGAATGAGGGTTAAGCACTGTCTCAATCCTGTCCATCCTCAGGTCTCCCTGCATTACCACCCCCACTCCTGCACCACGTGCCCCCTCTACTCCATTCCCTCCCCCCACCCCAGCACCGCACTGTAGGAAATGGACACTCACGCCCAGCTCCTTGAGAGCGCGACTACTCTTCCTGGGCTTCTCCCGGTGCCAGTTTGAAGGTGGGAGGTCAGGCTGGGTCACCTTCTGGGACAGATCTGTCAGGCCAGGCGGGGTAGGGCTGAGGGCCTCCTTTGGTGGGGGTCCTTCAGCTTCCGACCTGGGAGTAACTGTGGATGCTTCATTGGCTTCTGCTGCCATGACTCCAGCTGAGGACCTGGCTGCTGGCCAAGGAGAAAGGCTGGGTCAAAACTATCTCATTTCTCGGGCTCGTGCCGGGTGCCTGTCCCGTCTGCCCTCTGGACCAGGACTTTCCAGAACAGCAGCTGGCCTGAACTTGCTTTGACCTGGAATCCGCTGGGTCCGGGAATGGGGAGAAGCTGACTCATAGCCTCTGCCCCTTCTAGGGCAGAAAGACAAGGACCATACATAATTCCCCATCATTGCAAGACAGATTGACCCCCACCCAAACTGGCTGACTGCAGTTTGGCCAAGAGCCCAGGGTGTAGGAGGCTTGGGCAAGTGGGGGAATCTTTGTAACCAGCCCCCTGTTCTGCCCGATGTCCGAATCCCAGAGCGGGAAGAGAGAAGTTCCAAGACAATGCAATTTACAAAAAGGGAAGTTTTATTACTGACTCGAGTCAGGGCTTTCTGCTGCAACCAACACAGTGGTGCAAGGTCAGAAAAGCCCTGAGCAGAGGCGGTTACCCAAATTTATAAGGTATGCATAAGCGGTTAGTAGCTGGCTTAAGCGGATTGGTTACATGTTTGCAAAGCAATTTTATTGGTACAAACTTTCACGGGCTTTTGTTTAAACTTAGGCGGGCTTTTGTTTAAACTTAGGCATCCGCGGGCTTTTTAGCTCTCCCTTTGTTTCTTACTGGGCGCATATTGATTGGCTGGCTCCAGGTTACCTGATGGGGGCGGGGAATCCCACCATTTCACGGGAAACGAAAACCCAGGTCCCGGCCGCCTGCTAGCCCCGGCAGCCCCACACCCCCATCCATTGACTTCAGTTCAGTTCAGTTCAATTCAGTTGCTCAGTCGTGTCCAACTCTTTGTGACCCCATGGACTGCAGCACGCCAGGCTTCCCTGTCCTTCACCAACTCCCAGAGCTTACTCAAACTCATGTCCATTGAGTTGGTGATGCCATCCAACCATCTCATCTTCTGTCGTCCCCTTCTCCTCCTGCCTTCAATCTTTCCCAACATCCAGGTCTTTCCCAATGAGTTGGCTCTTTGCATCAGGTGGCCAGAGTATTGGAGTTTCAGCTTCAGCATCAGTCCTTCCAATAAATATTCAGGACTGATTTCCTCTAGGATGGACTGGTTTGATCTCTTGCAGTCCAAGGGACTGTCAAGAATCTCCAACACCACAGGTCAAAAGCATCAGTTCTTTGGCACTCAGCTTTCCTTATAGTCCAACTCTCACATTCATACATGACTACTGGAAAAACCATAGCTTTGACTAGACAGACCTTTGTTAGCAAAGTAATGCCTCTGCTTTTTATTATGCTGTCTAGATTGGTCAAAACTTTTCTTCCAAGGAACAAGTGTCTTTTAATTTCCATTGGCTTAGGATGAGCCAAAAGAAGGCAGATGGGGATCAAATAATTGTCCTACCACCCGGGGTGATGGTGGTGGCTCTTGGGTGTGGGGCATTAGGGAATAGAAGGGAAGGAAACTTCTGCCGAGGTCTTACAAGGAGCCAGCAGGGAGCCAGGAAGCCATTTAGCAATGACAATAAATCAACATTTGCTAGAGTTTTCTCTGTTGCAAGCACCAGGATGAGCATTTTAGATGCATTACCTGATTGTATCCTCATCTCAACCCTATGGGTTGTCCTTCCTCCCATTTTGCAGATAGGGCTCAGAGAGGTTAAGCTGCCTGACAAAGGTCACACAGCCAGTAAATGACTGGACTGGGACTCAAAGCTCGGCAGACTGTCTCCAGAGCTTGGGGGCCTCCATCATTTATGCATAGTTGCCTTAATGAATAAAAATGAATGCTCTGGATGTTTCAACAGGCATGAGAAAGGGGTTGGGAGGAAACTTTGCAGGAGGCTGAAAGTGCCACTTGCTGAGGGGCTGGATGACTCTATTGTGGGTTGATGCCGGGGCACTTCAGGGCCTGGGGGCTTCCTGGTGACTCAGTGAGAAAAGAGTTGGTGGGGGGCTGGGTTTGGGCTGTTCCCATTCTTTCTAGTAAAGAAAAAGGGGGGAGGTCATAGTCCTCTTGATTTTAATTCTAGGTGAATTCAGGGGATCCTGCTTGAGCATCCACATCTTGCTGTTTTCCTATCAAGGAGGAAGGGGTGCGGGAAGAGGGAAAGAAGCTGGGAGGCATGAGTAGCCCAGGTGACTAGATCCTGGGCTGCGAGTCTTTCAGAGCCAAAGGGCCGGATGGGGCCCCAGGGCTGGTGAGCACCGGCTCCATGTAGGCACTACCCGGGAAGGCATTTTTGCATGCTGACCTCTCTCGATTCTCTGGAAGCTGACTAACTCTATTCCACAGAAAAGGAAAGAGGCTTAGGGAGGTTAAGTGCTTTGGCCAAAGTCACACAGCAAAGAAGTGCCTGGAATTAGGAGTGCATGTGTTGGTCCGACTCCAGCGCTCTGTGCCCAGGCTGCTGGAATGTGTGATCAGTATCTCCGCTGGCCTGTGGCGACACCCCCTGGTTTAGCAGGGATGGTTGAGGAGGCTGGGCCCCCCTCCTGGCTGGGCTCCAGAAGCAGAGCCCAGAGACGCATGGTGGCATGACTCTGCTCTGGGACCTGGGCCATCCCTATGCCAATCCCCAGAGCCCCTCTGACACAGTAAACTGGACCCAGGGCTGCGGTTGGTGGCAGAGGCCAGTATCATCATCCACTGACTGTAACCAGGCTTCTCCCCTGCACCTGGACAGGCAGAACCTAGACCTGCCTCAGTGCCTCTGGGAAGCACAAAAGAAGGAAGGCTTCTTGGTGGAGGCATCTTGGATGAGACAGGTTGTCAAGGGAGATAAAGTGAGTGTCCCGTCACTGGAAGGGTGCTTCTACTTGGCTTTCACTTTTCAGGAAGCCAAAGTAACCTTCCTCAAAGTATGTTCCATGGAACACTGGTCCTAATGGATCAGTAGCAAAAGGGTTCCATGATCAAATAAGTTTGGGAAACCCTGGATATCTATCTTCACTCCCCTCTTTAGCATGTTAAAGGCTCTGAGAATTCCTGCAATGGAATAACTTTACTGTAATATTTAGGGCATTTCCCAAACTTAAAAGGCCATGATAAATGAACATTTTTCTTTTCCTCATAGTCCAGTGATTCTACACACTTGGTACTCTGTGGGGAATATTTATGGGCAAGTGGCCCTAAACTTATAAACTTTAAATTCTGGTCTTCTTTGTGGCTCAGATGGTAAAGAATCTACATGCAATGTGGGAGAACCAGGTTTGATCCCTGGGTGGGGAAGATCCCCTGGAGAAGGAAATGGCCACCCACTCCAGTATTCTTGTCTGGAGAATTCCATGGACAGAGGAGCCTGGTGGGTTATAGTCCACAGGGTTGCAAAGAGTTGGACGTGACTGAGTGACTAATGCTTACACTTGCCCTCTTTTTGATTTTCTCAAGTGCATATCATGGTGGAGGCAGGGATTGGACTGTGGTCTCTAGGGTCAGTTCCAACTCAGTAATTTTCTCATGAGACAGAAGGAACTTTAAACAGCAGGAGGGGAGAGAGGTGCAGAGGGCAGGTGTAGATGACCAAAATCTCTTGTTTGTGAAGCTGAGATCCGGCTCTCTAAGAAGGACGTGGACTCTGGGTCCTCAGGAGGCAGGTGCCCTGTTGTTCTGGCCGCTGCATGGCCAGAACCTGACATAGGCTGCTCAGGGGCGGAGGTGGCTGGGAGGGGAGATGGCAGGAGACTGTCGTGGGCAGTGGGAGGAACATTTTTAGCCTTGTCCCCTCTCCAGCCCTCTCAGCCAGCTTAGGACTCCCAGGTCCAGCCAGGGAACCAACCGGGGCCCATGTATCCCCTTTGTTCCTTCAGCTCCCGGGGGCAGGGCAGGCAAGGACAGTGGGAGGTAGGACCCTCCAGCACCACCCCCTTCCCGAAGAATGGTCCAGATCATGAGTGCTAGACAAACCCGAGCAGGATTCTGGCTCTGTTCCCATGAACTTTGACCTTGGGCAGGTCAAACGAGATGATAACATCTCAACATCTTAGCTGGTGCCTATCCTGGGGGTGGGGGTGGGGCAGGGCTGTGAGGCCTAAGCGGATAACATGTGTAACATGCGGGGCCTGACGCTGGCTGGCATCACCTCCTGCCTGCTGCGTGCCTAGAGTACTGCCATCAGGTTCCACTTTGTCCTGACTGGTTCTCTGTTAAGATCTGAGACACACTGGTCTCATCATCAGGAGGGGTGATCATGGGGGGAGACAGCGTGAGAGCCTCTGGGCTCTGGGGGTCGGGGAGAGGGATATGGGGAGGGCAGGAGAGCACCACGGATATAGAGCTAGTGCTCAGAGATTTATTTCCAGAGTGCTGAGTTCAAGACCACGGGGACCCAGGCAGCAGTGAGTAAGATCTGGCCATAGGAGTCTGTGATCAAGCAGGCAGAGAAAACCTGTACTGTGGAGGCCTAAAGGACAGGGCAGGCTTCTCAGGATGTGTGTGCATGTGTGTGTGTGTGTGTGCGTGTGTGTGTATGTGTGTGTGTTTGCATGCATGCCAAGCAGAGACAGGCAGGGCTGAGAGACACAACCCAGAGACACACCATGTGACCGAGGGCATGATAAGGGGACCCCTGTAGAGGATCAGGGTTCAGTGGATGCCAGTTAGAAATTGGCCACAAACTCACCAAAGCCAGCCTCCCCCCAGGGTATCAGAACAAGGTGCTGGTGCAAAGGGGTTCACTGTCAGGAGCCAGGGTCCCTGCAGGAGACAGACGCCTCTGCTCTGAGATGGAGTTAGACCTGGATTCCAGCTCTGGCCCCGAGGGGTCCGGGGCACCTCCCTTCCCTCTCTGGGGCTCTGTGTCCCCAGCATTGTCGCTGTGTGTGAGTTTCAGGGGTTGGAATGGACACGACCAAGGCTCCTCCCAGTTCCTGTGGTCTGTGACTGGTAGCAGGATGGGGCTCTAGGTGGTACATTCTTCCCCAGGGAGAGATGCTGTTGGTTCTCCCTCCTTCCCAGATGCTCTTTACTGGGGTGGGGGTGCC